ACAAATGCCTTTTGTAAATTAAAAAAAATTAAATAAAATTAAAAAAATAAATCAAAATCTATTTATTGTTTTAATTTACAAAAGCCTTTTGTAAATTAAAAAAATAAATAAATTAAAAAAATATATACACGTCGATTTAATTTATTTAATCTATTTAATTTATTTAATTTATTTAATTGTTTAAATAGCCAAATCCACAAACAAAAAGAAATATTTTAACTTTTAAATATATTTAAGTTACAATTTGAAAAATTGAATAAATTAAATAAATCTTTTAAAAAAAATAAATAAAACATCAAAATCTATCAATTTTTAATTTACAAATGCTTTTTGCAATAAATATTTGAATTGAAAATTAAATCATTTGTGTTTGTTTCTGAGTACGAAATGATACCTAAAGGACCCTCGATCATATATATATATGTGTGTGTGTACATGCTTTCATATGTATTATATGTTTAAAATACATCTTTCCATGCCCATGTCCTTCCCCAAATCCCAGTGCTCATCGGCTTATCCCTCCAACAAAATCTTCCTCGATGCTACAGCGCTGTCTATGAGTAACGTACTCTGCATGAGTCACCATCATGAGTCCCTCAAAAACCTCCCAAAATTATTGCGTACCGTACACGCCTCCCTATACAAAGAACAGGATTTAGTTCAGGACGCACAGCTTTGGTTGTAGTTGGGTTCCTCTTTGCGCACCAGCTGCATGGTTCTTCACAAACTCGGTGCAATGAACAAAAACTAAAAAACTATTTCCAAAACCTGCCCTATCCCGCTGTAGCTCGTTGACGGCCAAATGTTTGATGCATTCACAAGTGCAAGTGGAGAACCCCCGTATAAACACAACAATGTGTGAGTGTGTAGTATGTTTCATTAAAAAAAAGACAGTATTTCTAGAGAAAAAAAAACACTAACAAATGTGTAGCTTGTAGATGCTTCTAGTATTTCTCACATTTGTCGTGTGTGTGTATAGTGTTTGTTTCCCAACGAGCCGAGTGGACTCCCATCGATCGTCCTGGACTTGCGAGGGACTTTTTCACCAAGAGGGTATGACATATTTTGCTGCTGACCCCTTCAGCGTCAAAGGATCACGTTTATCCACGTTGGATTTGAGTAGGGTGTCCTCAATCCCCCAAAAAGCTTGGGCAGGTGATCTATACTGACATCCCTTTCAGAGTACTTCTTTCTCCCCAAAGGTCGTCTCATCCATCATGGCCGGACGTCGGTCGTGCTCCGTCGTCCTCCGCCGACCACGTGGACATCGACTCCATCGTGGCGTCGGGCAGCGCGAAGGAGAGGCCATGGGTCACACAGTTGGCCACCAAGCGCTCCAGGCCTCCGGCGGAGAGGATCCCAGCGCGGTTGTTGGTCCGTGTGGCGGAGAGAAAGATCCGAAGAAGGACATCGGTGCAAAGATCTCGTTGTACAGTGGGTGGAGAATGGAAAGGACATCGATGTGCCTTGATCTCTGTAAACAATTGTTTGATTCCTGATCATGCAAGTATCTGAAACTAAGAAAAAACTGGATACTTCTATGACATATAACTTCTGGTGGATCTCTTTGACGGAGTCTAGAAGTCACTGAATCGATAAAAAAACAAGAAGAGCCACGGCTGTCCAACAAGAAGTTCACGGCTACTGTAGCCTAGTAGGACAAGTGACCAATCAGAAACTTAGACAATAAGAGAGCCGCAAGAACCCAACGGCGGCCACACCGATACCCTTGTCTCGGTCCTTGCTGAGCAGCCGCTTCCAGCTGCGCTCGGTAGTCCTTGGTGACCTCGCTCCGCGAAGGACCAGGGGATGCTGAACATGCACTGCTCCCCCTACAGCAGACTGGTGCTTTGATTGGAGAAATGCCTGCTTCAGAATGAACTTGCTGAAACAATAGGGAATGTTTAAAACTCAAAACTCCGACTGTTCCTGGATAGTTGGCCAAGCTCTCACCTGAATCAACCATTGACCCTTGCCTATGCTAGTGTCGACCACCGTTCATGCCCACAGAAACCTTTGTGTTGTAGTAGCTGTGGTTAGACACGAAGGTACAACATACAACAGCTACGGACTGACGTACTGGCGCTCAGTGGTCGATAGGGGGTCCCCAAAGTTTGTTCTTTTCTGAAATAGCGTCTCTTGTTTGACATAGTTTCGATAGATCCCCCAAATCAATTAATAGCAAATCCTCCAGTGGTTTTGCTGTATCTGCCCACCCATTCTCTCTCTCTCTCTCTTACGTTGGAGGCCATCGCTACTAGGGTGGAGGCCATCTCAATAAGTGTCTCTCTCTCTCTCTCCCCACTCCACCCCTAAGGCCCCGTGGGTGCCCCGGCCATGACGCGGCCTCCACGGCCCAGCTGCCGCAAGCGCCAGGCGACTGAAGCGACGAGTGCCTCCAACTGGGTGGCACCTGTGCAGCTGTCATGGGCCGGGCCGCCTTTGGCACCCAGAAGTGTCCCTCATTGGCCAAGCTTTACTCAACGTATCGCAAATTCATATCCCAAATATTCCCAAATGCTCCAATTCTAAGATCTACACGCTAATACAAGTTACAAAAGACATTTGCATAGCCTTGAGACATGCAATAAACACGTTCCATTCTCTCGCCAGTTGACTCAAGAGTCCTTGCACCAACAACATCATTGACAAAAATTAAACCAACAACAAGCACAAATGTTCAGGAAAAAAAGACTAGACACGGTGATGCATGCAAAGCACAGTCCAATCTTTCTAGCGATTCTGGCTCTGGTAGTAAAGGACGAAACAGACAGAGGCTGGAGTTTTTGTGAGCTCTCTCTGGTGTGCACGCTCCCGGCTCTGCGAGCGTCTGTTCGTTTCACTTCTTGAGCCAAAATGGCGAAGGGGTCTAGCTAAACTACCCCCAGGCTGTTTTCCTATGAGGTTTCCTCACAGGCTGCCCCTCACCATGGGGAACCTATACGGTTCTCCTGGCCTTCCGGCGGCGACTCCTCCCGCTTGGCGGCGAAGCTCAGCGTGGCCACGCCATCGGGGCGGCCCCGCAAGCCGCTGCGGAGCCTCGACCGAGCCGCTGGAGAGGCCATGGTGAGGACGTCGGACGAAGATGCACCGGTGGGAGACGTTTCAAACATCGTCAAACATCGTCAGTGTGGTTGAAAAAACTGACCTGTTTTTGGTCCCGATGAGATTCAATTACACCTTGTTTGATCTCTCTATGTGAGCAAGCGATGCGCAGGATTCTGTCAAACATCTCCGTTGTCAAGCCTTCACATGTTCCAGTTCCAGATTCTTTGTTTTTTGTGTTGACATGTCTGCTTCCTCAGGGCCCGCAATGATTTTGTGGATTTGGACGTAAAAAGGGCTATTACTGGTTGCATCCAGGCAATTCAAAGCCCTCCCTGCTCAAGTACGACCCTCCCGGCAACTCGCGGCCTCCGTGCGAGGAAGCACCACCGCTCCGAAGAACGAGGCCACAGGGGCCAAAGCGCCGGCACCTACGACACCGGATGAGGCGCACAGAAGGCCCGGTTGCTTCATCTAAAAAGCGGGTTGAATGGTCAGCCACCCTGATTGACACTTGATGTTGGTGTTCTTAGTGCTGTTCTTGTTCTTGTTCTTGTTCTTCTTCTTATTATTTTGCTATTTTTCATTATGTTTCTTTTTATTATTATTATTCGTCATTGTTATTGCTATGATTGTCATTGAAGGTGTTCCCTCGACTTGAGGATGTATGGGTCCTGGCTCTTTTGGAAGCTGTCTTTATTTTTGACTTTGACGCTCAGCTCAAGGACAATCAATCCAATCTGCTTGCACTTGGGTTCCCACCAGTTAGCTACTCTAGACAAAACGCTGTTCATCAACTCTTCAATGGTCCCGCGCTGCAAGCTCACATAGTCATTCACCCCGGTCTACATTGCTTGTTGTTGACCGGTTGCAGGACAGCCGGGCAACCCCGAAATCATGGTCTTCCGGAGGCCTTCAGCTCCGTGAATGTTGGAACAATTTGGAGTGGTATGGAGTGGTCCACTAATGAAATACAACATGTGTTTAAAAACATATATATTAAAAACCATATATCGAATAAGCGTCACTAAGAAAAAACAAATAGTCACAAGTCCGCGTTCCACGCCTCCTCTGGCACCTGCGCTTCGAAGGCCTCCTGCGCGGCCTGCCGCGCGTGGCACGGCTCTGCCGAGACCGAGGTGTCCTGGCGACGGGTCGCTCCGATGTGGATCGACCCGAAGGGGTGAAGACGGAAAACCATGGTTCTTTGGAGCGGTGGTTGTTGGGTAGTTGGGTAGTTGAAGCAATTGTGTGGGCAAATCATTGTGATGGTGTGTTGGGTAGTTGTTCAATTAATTTCAGATTTGCCCTTGGTGAGCCTGATGAAGAGCACTGAGTGCCTCCCAGGCACCCTGCCCGTATATGCGTCGGTTCACATCAATGGGATTCTCTCCTGCAAGGCTGCCATGAGCTCTCGTAGCAGTGCCGCCAAACCGAAGATGTCGAAGAGCACATGGTGGAAGGAGATGCCCAAAAGGCCTCCAATGGAAGACCAATAAAAGAATCCAAGCACTAGGCAAACCCCAGATCTCAAACCAAATACCATGGGTTTGGTTATGTTTGGTTCTAATTCATGAGCCAAGCACCACTTAAAGTAGAGTTCTTCTGAAGGTTCATAGAGCAGGACAGCATGCCTGAAAGGTCGATATGGGGTGTGCCAAAATGGAAAGCAATGAGTTAAACCTGGTATTTTTGGGGGGTCTGTAATGAAAGTATCTTCGGAAAATACACACTCATGGATATGCGTACTGATGTGAATGCGGTGCCACTCGCC